TCAGCCATTTTACTCATATTTACCCAAGAGAAATAATAGCATTTTTCCTTATAAAGACATGAATACAAATGTGCATAACAACAGTATTTCTAATACTCAAAAATTAGAATCAACCCAAGTGTTCATCTACCTGAGAATGGTTAAGTGCTAAGAACTTGTAAAAACACAAAATATCCTTCTATGGGTGAATGGGTAATCAAATTGTAGTAAATCCGTACAGGAAATAATACAGAGCAGTAAAAAGAACAAATTATTGACGCACACAACAGCATGGATGGACTTCAATAGAATCATGTGAAGTGAAAAAGTCCATTACATAGATGGTTGTTGTTGTGACCTGCCATTGAGTACTCCAACTCATGGCAACCTTAAGTAAAACAGAACAAAAGGTTGCCTGGCCCTGTGCTCTCCTAACAATCATTGTTATATTTGAGTGCATTGTTGCAGCCACTGTGTCAGTCCATCTCATGGAGGACTTCCCTTATTCTTATTGGCTCTCTACTTCACCAAATACGATGTCCTCCTCCAGAAACTGGTCTTTCCTGATGACGTGCCCAAAGCAAGAAAGTCGGACAATGCTCTGATAAAGGCAACAAAATATCTACCACTAAATAATTTTTTTTTTTTTTAGGTGCCTTCAAGTTGTTTGCCACTCATAATGATCTATAGGACAGAGTAGAAATGCCCCATAGGGTTTCCTAGGCAGTAATCTTTCTGTGTGCAGATGACCAGGTCTTTTCTCCCTGGAATGGCTTATGGTTTCAAACTGCCAACCTTTCAGTTAGCAGTGAGTGTTTGAACATTGCACCACAAGGGCTCCTTCCACTAAAGAATAGACAAGACAAAATTTATATATGTATATACATATATACCATTATGTAGAACAAATAAGCAAAAAAAGTCACAAATAGATACAAATATTTACAATGACAAAATGCAGCAAAAAGATTTATAGCACAGTAATATATATTAATAGTGAAACATTAGACACAAAATATCACACTTTATAAGGATATTTTGATATGGTAGAGCATTATGTCAAGCACAGCAGAACACGTACCAAGGTAGAAAGATGTTTTGGAATAAGGATTGGACAGAATGAAAAGGAATATAAAAGAAGCAAGCAAAACACCTAAACAGACAGACGATGACATTTGACTATGAAATGAGAAGCAAGGGTACCATTTCTGTTCCTTAGGTCAAAAAGAAAAAAAAACAAAAACTCTGACCTGAACAACAGCAATAACAGCAACAATAACAACAGCAAACAAGGGAGCGATACCTCGCATATGCCCAATGCACTATGTTTATTCCATTTAAATCTTTTAAATAATGCGATAAGAAAGTGTTTAAACACTACTTCAGGTTGTCATCCATTTGATAAGACCACTGTAGAAATGGGGAATATTGATAGTTCTGTTTTATATTTTAATCCAGATCCCTAGGTGGTAACATTGGACAGTGAACAAAGACTAAAATACAAGAACGTATAAAATAGATGAACAAAGAGTAAAATACAAGAATGTATAAAATAGATAAATAGAGACAGACATACATAGTATATGAAGAAAAACTTGATTACTGCTGAATACAAATTATCCTGGACAATTAACAGATAACCCCCAGATATTTTGTTAATCTTTCCAATGCTTTGGAAACAACCAACAAACTGCTTGGCATCTCTTCAGGGAGAATCTCCAGGGGTGAAAAAAAAAAATCTTTAAATTGTTCCCACCTTGCCAAGTTAAGAAGCACATGGGGGAGTCAAGATGGAGCCTTCATTACAGGTAAAAAGATGTACTTTACATATTTTACCAATATCCAAAAGGTTTCAGTGACACTTGCAGGGTTCCACCTTTATTCAATGGCAAAATCATTGCAAAATATTAGGATTTCTGATTCAGTTCTTTGTGCAATCTACTCTTCCACAGTACTTGAGACTAGGATCCTGCTCCCTTTTTAATTCATATTATTTTTTTCAAATATTTTCACTCTGTTTCAGAGGCTAAATGCTCATAAGCATCTTTGAAACTCAAACATTATATGGCTAAATAATATGTTTACTTTACATAAATAATTATATTAATAAAAAAGCAAAGAAGAAACAAAACTAGTTGTCCTGGAATCAATTCTGACACATAACCACCCCTTGTGTGTTAGAGAACTGTGCTCCATAGCATTTTCAAGGGCTGTGACCTTTCAGAAATAGATCTTCTCTTCTTCCAAGGTGCCTCTAAGTGGACTCGACTAGCCAAACTTTCAGTCAGTAGCTGAGCGCTTAGCCGTTTGCATCTCCCAGGTGACCTAACTATATGAATAATTGAGCTCAAATATGAAAGTAAAGGAAGCTTCTACAGTATGAAAAAAATACTATAGCAGAGTTATGAAGCTGCAGGTATTCAATCTCTAGCGTTAATGTCCTTTCAAATTCTTAGTTATATACTGGCTCTAGGCTCCTTTAATGTCCCTCTCTAATACAATTTAATATTTAATGTATATTTAAATAACTATATAAATGTGAATTTTTACTAATCTCTTGATGAGGAAACAAATAAATTTCCTTCTTACACCTCATATTGAAATGTGGAAAGCAATTTGCTGGAGTTTAGGACATTTTTAAGTGTCCAGTTTTATGATGATAATATAATATATACCGTGTTCCTAAATTTCCAGTGGAGTCTGTCAGAAAGAAGTTATAATTTTCTCAGAGTATAGCTTTACAAAGTAAGAATAGATGCTCAAGAAAGACGGTAAACTATGAAAGTTAATTTGGTGCTCTCCATAGAATTCCAGAGCTGTTGAAAGTCGTTTTATCTTCTCTGATCTAATAAAAAAATCATTATTTACCAGTGTAAATACTTTTTTTTCTTCAGCCTTTCTTCATTGCAACTAAACAAGATGTATTTTTTTTTTTATTGCATTCATTGAAGGTAGTCCATTGCTTAACTGTAGTATCTACTGACACCCAACTCGGTATTTTTTTTAAACATTTATTGTGCTTCATGTGAAAGCTTACATAGTAAATTAATTCTCTAATCAATGATTCTTAGCAAAAATTGTTTAATGACCTTGGTTGCAATCCCCATGATGTGTCAGCACTCTTCCCATTTCCATTAGTTCTGTTTCCCAGTCCCTACTGTCTTCTCGTTTTTGAGTTTGGGTAAGTGTTGCCCTTTTTTCTCATATAGTTGATTATTCTAGGAAGCACATGTTATTGTTTAGTTCATAGCCTCATCTATTATTTGACTGAATGGTGGCCTCCAGGAGAGACTATAGTTTCATGTTGCGAGATTTTATTATGGTAAAAGTCTTGTAGGTTCCTCCAGTCTCTTTCAGACCAGTAAATCTGGTCTTTTTTTAAAAAAAAATTTGTCCCACAATTTTTCCCCATTCTCCCTGGGTCTTTCTGTTGTGATCCTGGTCAGAGTGGTCTGTAGTGATAGCCAGGCACCAACTAGTTCTTCTGGTATCAGGTTAGAGGAGGCTGTGGTTCATGCGGGCCATTAGTCCTTTGGGGTAATTGCTTCCTTAAGTCTTTTTTTTTTTTTTTTTTTTTTTTTTGAGGAGGGAGGAAAAGCATTTATTGCAAGCATTCAGTCAAGGAGCAAGGAGGTATATACCTGAAATCAAGCTTTCCAATCAAAGGGAAGCAGAATCTTTTATACCGTCTCTCACAAGGAAGTACATACAAACCTTGTGGACTACATAGATTATCATGGCGTGCAGATGCAGTAAGACAAATCGCATTTTTTTTTCCTTTGGCATGTAGGCTAGTAAATTGGGTTCGACTGGCTTAAGCCACAGGCAGTGCTTTGAGGACAATGGTCTTTAAGTCTTTTTGGCTTATCTTTGTTCTCCTTTGTTCCAGGCAGGAAGAGACCAACAGTTGCTTTTCTGACAAAAGCAATGTGTGTGCACAGGGACAAGGCAGGGTATCAGAAGGTCACAACCTTATAAGCAATGTTTTATGAGATAGTGTATTTCCCCTGTAACCATTTTAGAATTTAATATGATAATTGTATTTTTCTATTTGCTTGATTATTTCTAACTTAGAGGCTGCTTGTACTGCTATTTTTATTGTAAGTAGTATCGTTTCAAACTATTGATTCTTTTACCTTAAACTTGTATTTTTGTTGTTTGTTTAGCCTGTGGTTTATTAGGGATATGTATATATATGTTAGTTTCAATATACTTATGCTTATATACATTATGTGCTATATAATAGTACAGAGAATTACGTGGGTCCTTGATGTACAAAAGCAGTTAAAATAAAACTCAGGAATCCTTACGTCTTATCAGTGCATTTTGTCCTTATGCTCTTGAGTATTATAGTGATTTTCACCAGATTTCCTTTAAACTAGAAGATCTCTATCCAAAATGAATTTTTTTAACGAAACTTAATTATTTAAAAGCAATAACAGTGATCTAGCATTTACTCAATTTACTCAAATTTCCTCTGATTACCTTAGGATCTTCCATGAACAAATACATCTGATTTGTTACAAACAACTTCGTATATGTTAGTTATAATGAAAATACCCCTAGAAGAAGACATATTATTGTTGTTAGGAGCCATCGAGTAGTAGTTTCCAACTCATGGCTACTCTATGTACAACAGAACAATACATTGCCTGGTCCTGTGTCATCCTCACAATCATTACTATGTTTGAGCCCACAGTTGCAGCCACTGTATCAATCCATCTCGTTGAGGGTCTTCCTTTTTTTGTTGACTCTTTACTTTACCAAGCATAATGTCCTTCTTCAGGGACTGATCCCTCCTGATAACATGTTCAGAGTATGTGAGACACAGTCTCGTCACCCTTGTTTCTAAGAAGAATTCTGGTTGTATTTCTTTCAAGACAGATTTCTTCGTTTTTTCAGCAGTCCATGGTATAGTCGATATTCTTTTCCAACACCATAAGCCAAAGGTGTCAATTATTCTTTGGTTTTCCTTATTCATCGTCCAGCTTTCGCATGCATATGATGCGATTAAAAAAACTATGTCTTGGGTCAGGCGCACCTTAGTCTTGAAAGTGACATCTTTGCTTTTTAACACTTTAAATAGGTCTTTTGCAGCAGATTCACCTAATGCAAAGCATTGCTTGATTTCTTGACTGCTGCTTCATGGGTGTTGACTGTGGATCCAAGTAAAATGAAATACTTGACTTCAATCTTTTCTCCATTTATCATAATGTGGTTTATTGGTCTAGTTGTGAAGTTTTTTTTTTTTTCCTTTATGCTGAGGTGTAATCCATACTGAAGGTCGTGGTCTTTGATCTTCATCAGTAAGTGCTTCAAGTCCTCTTCACTCTCAGTGAGAAAGATTGGGTCATCTGCATATCACAGGTTGTTAATGAGTCTTCCTCCAATACTGATGCCCCATTCTTCTTCATATAGTCCAGCTTCTTGGATTAGTTGTTCAACGTACAGATTGAATAAGTACGGTAAGAATATACAACCTTGACACACGCCTTTCCTGAGGGGAGGACATATTTCAAGTGAATTTATATTAAAGTAAACATATTAAAATGTTTTAAGTAAAGTACAAGATATGTAATCCAAAATACTGGCACACTGATGGTCCAATTTTAGTCAAGGATAGGATAGGGAAAGGCTGGGATCAGTTACAGGGATAATCCGCTACTCAAACTACTCATCATCATAGCCCTGATATAGAAGTTAAGTCACACAAGAAGAATTTACATATGCATGTGTAAATAAAACTCCTTGCAGGCAACTTACTGTCATTTTAAAAACAACAAAAACAGTATGTACTTGATATTTGAGAACTATTTCCAAATACAATAAACATATTGAAACATTTAATCCTCATTTATCTATCCAACAACCCGAAAAGGAAGTGGTCATTTTGAAGATGTGTATAAAGAGACTGAATATCTTATTCAATAACCAACAAGTGGAGGTGTATCAGAAACTATAACAGCGTGTGTCTATCACCTGGAATATTTCCCTGTATAAAGACAAATAATCGCCACCATGATCTACTGTGGTCAATGTCTGTCAAGTGTATTGTTTCAGTCTGTGCCACTTGTGGCACAAGGGCTTGCATAGGTTATGTTTTGAAGTAACCATATTACATATTTCCACACATTTTGAAATTTGCACTTTAAAATTTTTGGAATGTAATTAGCATGCGTATTATAATTTTGTAAATGTCATTATGTAATTGTCATTATATAAATGACAACAGAAAGCTTAGTAACCATTCATATACCTAACACCTACAATTTTTAAATTTTATTTTTTTAATTTTTAATTTTTATTTATTTAAATTTATTTTTAACTCTTGCATGTATATGTGTATGTACATATATACACTTACCTATATGTATATTTAAATGTGGAGACCTGGTGGCCCAGTGGTTAAGAGCTATGACTGCTAACTAAAAGGTCAGCAGTGTGAATCCACTGATCACTCCTTGGGGGGCAGTTCTACTCTGACCTGTAGGGTCACTATGAGTTGGAACCAACTCAACAGCAACATGTTTTTTTATATCTAAATGTTATGTATAAGTATATACATAAGTATATCCATATCTATAGCAGAGTTTCTTGACTTCAGAACTATTGACATTTTGGGCTAGAAATTTTGTTATTGTGAGGCGTTGTCGTGTATATACCAGAATGTTTAATAATATCCCAGGCCTCCATTAGATACCAATAGTACCCTTCTCCTAATTGTGACATCCAACATGTGCCAGACATTGACAAATGTTCTTTGAGGAGTACTTTTCCCCAATTTAAAACTAGTTAGCCTCTCTTTCTCTCCTTGTTTCCTCTCTCCTTATCCCTCTTCCTCTATCTCTGTCTCTATATGGTGTTGTTGTTGTTGTTAGGTGCAGTCGACTCAGTTGTGGGGAACTGGTTTACTTTAATCTACCTGTATTGGAAATTTGGATTTATCTCATGTATTTAGTATACTGGCTTTGTATACTGAGAATCTACCAGATGATACTGCATGAGAACTGTTGACTATGCTATTGTCTCTATCCAGAATAGGTTTCCTGATAGACCAAGATGGACAAACACAATCTAACAGTGCTGACTGAATTCATTCTGATTGGAATAACAGACCACCCTGAGCTACAGGCTCCATTGTTTGGGCTGTTCCTCATCATCTACATGATCTCAGTGGTGGGCAACTTGGGCATGATCATCCTCACCAAGACAGACTCCAAATTACAAACACCCATGTACTTTTTTCTAAGACACCTGGCTATCACTGATCTTGGTTATTCAACAACTGTGGAACCTAAAATGTTGGTAAATTTTGTTGTGCATGAAAATGCAATCTCTTATTATTTTTGTGCTATACAGCTAGCTTTCTTTATTATGTTCATAACTAGTGAACTTTTTATTCTGTCAGCAATGTCTTATGACCGCTATGTGGCCATCTGTAACCCTCTGCTCTACACAGTCATCATGTCACAAAGGGTGTGTTGGGTGCTGGTGGCAATCCCCTATCTCTATGGCACATTTGTTTCTCTTCTCATCACCATAAAGATTTTTAATTTATCCTTCTGTGGCTACAACATCATCAGTCATTTCTACTGTGACATTCCTCCCTTGTTCTCTTTGCTTTGCTCAAACACACATGAAATCGAATTGATCATTCTCATCTTAGCAGCTTTTGATTTGATTTCATCTCTCCTAATAGTTCTTGTTTCTTACCTATTTGTTTTTATAGCCATTCTCAGGATGAACTCAGCTGGGGGCAGGTACAAGGCCTTCTCCACTTGTGGATCCCACCTGACGGTGGTGGTAGTGTTCTATGGGACTTTAATCTTTATGTATGTGCAGCCCAAGTCCAGTCACTCCTTTGATATTGATAAAATAGCTTCCATATTTTACACCATGGTTATCCCTATGCTGAATCCCTTGATTTATAGCTTGAGGAACAAAGATGTAAAATATGCCCTACTTAAGACATGGAAAAAAATAAGCAATGTATTTTCTAAAGTTTAATGTACCACATGGTTCCTACAAATTACACTGTGGACTTCAAACCTTTTCTGTGTGCCTCCAATGGGAATACCAACCACAAATATATTTAACATTTATTTCTATATTGCCTTCTAAGTACCAGTTACTCTTCTAAGTGCTGTAAATGCATTTATGAACAAAAGAGTAAAAACTTTTGCCTTCCTTGAAGGGGAGAGGTGAATCATAAACATAATAAGTAAATTTTATAGTACAGAAGAATGTACTGGGGTCCCGTGGCACACTGCTTAAAGTACTTGGATGCTAACCAAAGGTTGATATTTTGAAACCACCAGCCAGTCCGTAGGGGAAAGATGTGGCAGTCCATTTCCATAAAGATTTCCAGCCTTGGAAACCCTATGGGGCAGGTCTATTCTGTCCTATAGGGTCACTAAGAATTGGGATCGACTTGATGGCAGTGGGTTTGGGTTTTTGCAGAATGTGTTGGGAACCGTGAAATCAGGCAAGGAGAGTGTATATGCTGAGTGGGAGTGGGCAAAAGTACTAGGTATGAAAGAGGAGTTACAATGATTCTGGTGTTTTTTTCAGCTATTAGAATAAACTTTGCAGTGTCAGTACTTGTGTTTGTGTATATGTATGTTTATGTAAGCCCCTGCCTTCTGTTTTAGCCATCATAGTCTTCTGAGGGGTGTGTTAGATTCGGACCAGGCTGCAAGGAGCCTCAGCGTATGTGATGATTAGAAGTACTCATTATCTGAATTTGCTCAAATGCCTGCATTCCAGAGCTTGGAGCTCCACTCTTTTCTCATTAATGCCTTCACTTTCACATGTAAATCTGTTAACACAACATACCTTGCAATTTAGCAACCCACAGGTTCAACTCTGCATCTGACTTTGTTTTAATCAACCCATTTTGCCTATATCAGAATACACACAAATTAAGATAAATTTCTTGAAGTCCACCATAGAGTCTCCCAGGTTTACAATTCTTTCCTCACTGGTTGTTCTTATTACATAATTATATTTTTGTTTCATGGGTTGTTATATTTTCTTATCTACATGAAAAACTTAAAAAAAAGTTTGTTCAGTTATTTTTTGTTATTTCCTTGGATAACAGGATATTCCATGGTGAATTAAGTTTGCTGCCTTCTTTCACTGGTTTGGTATTGCTAAACTTTGGTCAATATTTATTATGCACTATATTTTTATTGCATTTTGTTCACCCTGTTGTGAGAAGAAAAATGAGCTAACCCCATAGTTTGCACCATGCTGTATTTCCAATTCAAATAAGGTCTATTACGTGGCAAGGATACAGTTATCTTGCATTACAGACATAGTAGGTCCATGTTACTCCTCAAATTTTTCCATGTATTTTTGTTTCTTTAGAAATTTTTAGGATATTATTGAAGCTACTAGAGTCTAAATTATTTTCTTGGTTCACAATCATGTAATAAAATACCCTGTGTAGCCAATGAAACTTGAAGAAAAATAGTTAATTGAAATATGAGAAAAGGAAGCATGTTATATTGTCATATGAGCATGAATATTTTTAAAAGGTTGAAGTAGTTAGAAGGTTGAGATGGTCGTGAGAACTACCAAAACCAAAAACCAAAACCAGTTGATTAGCAGCCATAGCTCTTAACCACTATGCCATCAGCATTTCCATAAGCACTACGGTAACATTATTTCACACTTATTGAACACTATATCATAGTCATTCTTCAGGTTTTAATTATTTTAATCATCACAGCAGCTCTGTGAGATAGGTTCTATTATTATTTACCTTTTTAGAAGATAAAATGGAAGTTCAGAGAGGGTAAATAAGTTATCCAAGTTTAACTCCTGAAGGATAAATTAATTATCAAAGTTCACAGAGGTTTTAAGCATTGGAACCAAGTTTCAAACATGGTGTAGCTCTAGTTTCCACGCTCATAACAGCTACTCTAAAGTACTTCTTAATATCAGTTTTTGGCTTCAGTGATGTCAGTGCTGAGATGACAGAGAGTAAAACTTTACTCTGGCAGGTATCAGATTAAAAGAAGAGAAATAGTAATGGGGTTTATAAAATAGTGACTACTTAGGACAACGTCTGTAAGTGAAAATAAGCTCAATAACAACAATGAATTAGTAAACTGATCCAGCAAGCTAATCAGTTGGTTTTGGATGCTTGTATTGCTCAAACCAAATAATGGAAATCCATCACAAAGTGGACACAGGACATGGTCTGGGCAGGTTTATAATAAATGTGCAGTGGGGAATATCAGAAATTATCATTAAGCAGTAAGGAACATATTAAAAATAAGTAAACAAAGAAGTTCCCATTTTAAGAAATGATATCTGGATTTCTGCCTTGAGAAGTTCAGCTACCTTTTACAAATAAAGATAGAAGTAGAATTAAAAAAAAAAAGAAAAAAAAGCTAAAACACCATTGGTAATGATTTGTAGAAGTTTCCAGGGGCTTGTCAAGATCCACTTTACCTCCTTGTAAAGGGATGCTGTGAGGAGATTTGTTCTCCATCATCTTCTGCTTCCTGGACTTTGTTGCTATGTGAGCTCATTTTTTTTTTGGAAATTAATTTAGTGACAAGAGATTGCCAAATATATTGACTTTGATTTTGCTAAGCTACTGAACCAGTGAGAGCCACCAGAGCCCACTACTGGACTTTGTTTTTGTTTGTTTGTTTATATAGAAATTAAACCTTCCTTGAGCTAATGTTTCAGTGATCCATTTATTTATTGAGCGTTTCATTGCATGCATGGGTAAAGCATTCCTAGATGATACAATGGTGAGAGGCAGAAGCACCACATCCAATTGCAAAGGTTGGGGGCCATGGGATTCTATGCTGTGCTGTTCGTATAGAAGAAGGTGTGAAAGAACCAGATGAAAATATGCAATATATTGGGCATTGCAATGGTTAAAGTAAATATCAAGAGCTCCCAACCACAGAAATCATACAGATCAAATGGAGCAACATACCCCTCAAGGATATTCATCAAACCAAATACATATATATAATACATATATATATGTATGTATATGTATATATGTGTGTGTGTTTAATCCACCTGTATAGGTTTTCATTGAAGGAGCTCATGAAAATAAGAGAGACAGAGAAAGAGAAAGAGAGAGTGAGAGAGAGAGAGAACGATAAGAAAATACCAGGAAGCTTCAGCGTACAAGTTAAATATTACTACAGCTAGAATAAGAAATAACCTGTGATTCATTAAAATATTTAATGAGCTCCAATAATCATAACACTTGTTGTTGTTGTTAGGTGCTGTCCAGTTGTTCTGATTCAGCAACCCCATGTACAACAAAAGGAAACACTGCCTGGTCCTAGGTGATCCTCACAATAATTGCTATTTTTGAGCCCACTGTTTCAGCGACTGTATCAGTTCATCTCATTGAGGGTCTTCCTCTTTTTCGATGACCTTGTCCTTTACCAGTCATGTTGTCCTTTTCCAGGAATTAATCCCTCCCTCTAAGTGTCAAATAGTGTCTGCATATAATTTCTAAATTAGAGAAAGTTACCAACGAGCAGTCTATGAGAGCCAAAATACAGCCTACAGTATTTACCACCTGGATTTGGAGACCATCTCAAGAACAGATTTGACAGATTGAGTACTAATGTTCAAAGACCAGACAAGTTGTGGGAAGACATCAAGGACATCATACACGAGGAAAGCAAAAGGTCATCAAAAAGACAGGGAAGAAAGAAAAGACCAAAATGGATGTGAAGGGACTCTGAAACTTGGGTTTGAACATAGTGTAGCTAAAGAGAATGGAAGAAATGATGACACAAAAGAGCTGAACAAAAGATTTCAAATGGCAGCTCTAGAAGACAAAGTAAAACTTCATAATGAAATGTGCAAAGACCTGGAGTTAGAAAACCAAACAGAAGAACACGCTCGGCATTTCAAAAGCTAAAAGAATTGAAGAAAACATTCAAACCTCAAGTTGTGAATTTGAAGAATTCTATGAGCAAAATATTGAATAACACAGGAAGCATCAAATGAAGATGAAAGAAATACAGAAAGTCACTGCACCAAAAAGCATTTGTCGATGATCAACCATAACAGGAGGTAGCATATAATCAAGAACCAATGGTACTGAAGGAAGAAGTCCAAGCTGCGCTGAAGGTACTAGCGAAAAACAAGGCTCCAGGAATTGAAGGAATACCGGTTAAGATGTTTCAACAAAAGGATGCAGTGCTGGAAGTGCTCACTTGTCTATGCCAGGAAATTTGAAAGAAGCTACCTGGCCAATTAACTGGAAGACATCCATATTTGTGCCCATTCTGAAGAAAGGTGATTCAAGGAATGCAGAAATTATCGAACAATATCATTAATATCACATGCAAGTAAAATTTTGCTGTAGATCATTCAAAAGTGGTTGCAGCAGTACATTGACAGGGAACTGCTAGAAATTCAAGCCAGAATCAAATGAGGACATGGAAAGAAGGATATCAGTGTTGATGTTATATGAATCTTGTCAGAAAGCAGAGTACAGAAAGATATATACCTGTATTGTATTGTCTATGCAAAGGCATTCAATTGCATGGATCATAACAAATTATGAAGAATGGGAATTTCAGAACACTTGATTGTCCTCATGCTGAACATGTACATAAACAAGGAAGCAGTCATTTGAACAGAGCAAGGGGATACTGCATAGTTTAAAATTAAGAAAGCTATGCATCAAGGTTGCATCCTTTTACCATACTTATTCAATCTCTATGCTGAGCAAATACTTTGAGAAGCTGGGTTATATGAAGAAGAACGTGGCATCAGGATGGGTAAAGACTCATTAACAACCTGTAATATGCAGATGACACAACCTTGCTTGCTGAAAGTGAAAAGGACTTGAAACACTTACTAATGAATATCAAAGACTACAGCCTTCAATATTGATTACCCCTCAACATTAAAAAAACAAAACAAAAATCCTCACAACTGGATCAATAAGCAACGTTATGATAAATGAAGAAAAGTCTGAAGTTGTCAAGGATTTCGTTTTACTTGAATACACAATCGATGCTCATGGAAGCAGCAGTAAAGAAATCAAATGACACATCGTATTGGGCAAATCTGCCATAAAAGACCTCTTTACAGTGTTAAAAAGCAAAGATGTCACTTTGAGGACTAAGTTGCACCTGACTCAAGCCACATTATCTATCACCTCATATACATGTGAAAAGTGGACAATGAATAAGGAAGGCCAATGAAGAATTGATGCTTTTGAATTATGCTGTTGGAGAAGAATATTGA